TGTGTAGCTTCCTTTTTTCTTTTATGTGATAAAATGTATAAAATTGCCCTGTGTTTGTAATCACTCCATCATCGGCTTCACTGGGAATGGGGGACATCCACATAGACGAACCTAGCAGTTACTGCTGTAATGTAAAAGCATATCCAGGGCATTGGGAGCACAGAAGATGCTGGAATTTCATGGTTCCAGGGGAAGAATGGTGATGAAAATGTGAAGCTTTCATTAGGGTGTAAAGAATTAGAAAACCTTCACAGACAGATATGTAAGAAAGGCAATAACACAAAGGGAAGGAAATTATTTACTTTTAGAAAACTAGGGTGTGAGAAACAGAATAAAGGCATGGAAAATAAACTAGTACCTGGTTTTGGAGGCCTTTTATGTGGGAAATGGGTAGTCCTGGTCCTAACTAGAGAACCTGGAAACATTATTCTTAGAGGATTGCATTTGGAGAAATGAATTAGTCACCCCGCTAGTCAATCTCGGTTGAGTTTACTGTTGTTTACTATATACCAGATACTGTTCAAGGTTTATATGTATTCATTTAATCCTCCTGACAATGCTACAAAGAAATTTCTACCAGTATTCTCATTCCACACATGGGAAAACTGAAGTACAATAATGTTAAGTAACTTACCCAAGCTCAGTCAGCTGAAGAGTGAAGTCAAAGGTTCAACTTAGGTTCAACAAAGCCATGTAGTAAACTAAGCCACTGCACTTTCCCACTGCACTTTCACTGAGTGTTTCTACTGAAGATGAGAACCAGAGTAGAAGCAAGAAAGTGGGCAACTAGGGATGGATTTGGGAAACATTTTGGAGAGCCCTGTTGATTGAATGTGGAGATAAAGCAAGAGTGCTGAGTGAAAATTAAACAATGCTGATAATGAAATTAGAAAAAAAGAGGAAAAGCATGTTTGGAGGAAATGATAAGATTGTTGTGAATATGCTGAACTTGACCTTGGTAGGATCAATTAGGTAGCTATCTCACACAGGAAGTTGGAAGTTTGAGTCTGGAGTTTGCTCAGCTAGGAAAACACTAGGGTCAAGATAGTCCCGCACTTGCTTCGGGCACAAAATTAAGGGCATGGCAAAATAAAAAAGTAATCGAAATATTTTAATAATCAAATAATCAAAAAAGTAATCAAATATTTTAATATATAAAATAGTATTTTTTAAATTTTTTAAATTTTTAAAATTTTAAAAAATTTTAAATGTTATTTTTTATTATGATATTTTGCATTTCTTTTGATTTTTAAAAACTCTGCCTTGAAATGGTATTTATCTTGATTGCCAAGGCTTTTGGTTTGTTATTTTGTTTGTTTTGGTGCTTCCTTAAATTTTGCATCCCAGGTCTTACTTTCCTAGCTGTAGTCCTGGCCTAATCTAGAAAGAATTTGACTCTTATCTATTCAAAAGTTTTTTATTATTTCTTCAAGAAAGGAATTATCACTAAAATTGAAAGTCAACTTAACTGATAACTCTGATTTTTAAATTATTTTAGGTCTAGAGCACCAGTTTTCATACTTTTTCCCTAGAGGGAGAAAGAGATTTCACTCTACAGATAAGGAAACCAAGATATATAACGGCTCAATGACAAAGTTAAAACTAATTTCTTAGTATTGCATGAGGTACACTAGATCAGAAACTTTTCTAGGTACGAGTTGGAAGAAAATAAAAATATAAGGTATTCTTTTTTCTTTTTTTGAAACTCAGAAAACTTGGGCATATAAAGTATTCTTAAGTGAACAAAGCTTGGCCAAATAATTTGGATTGAAAGCTGTTTGGAAAGAGTAAGTGCTTTGGAATTAGAGAGAGTGTGCTTGAATTCCCATTGGCTACTCACCAGCTGGGTGACCTGTAGCAAGTTCCAAAGCCTCACTCGGTTTCCTCATCTGTAAAATTAGGCTTATCATACCTACCTTTCATTGTTTTGTTTGGAGGATAAAAAGAGAATATAGCTAATAAAATTTATCAAGATGTCAACCTGTAACAGAGCATGAATACAAAATAGGAAAATTCCAGGAGATCTTATTTTTAGAAGCTGTATATAGAAGTAGAGAGGCAGAGAAACCAAAGGGATAGTGCAAGTGAGGGGACAGTTTCTGGGACCCAAAGGCAGAGAAAAAGTCACAGTGGCCTTTGGTGGAGGGAGCCAAGAAAATAAATATTCTGACCTCACTTTTCTCTTTCTTTCTAGTCTTTAATCAAGCCCCAAGGTAGAGGGCATCAGAGACCTTACAGTTCCGCCTAAGGGGAAAACCTCAGGGTGCAGAAGGATGGAGAAGGTATCTAAAGGAGCAAAAGGAAGCACAATACCACATAATAATAAGTCCTAAGTACTGAGCATTTCCTATGTAACAGATACAAATGCTTTATTTGTGTCAACTCATTTAATCCAAATAACAACCTTATAAGGCAAATGCTAATATTTTTCCATTTATAAATGAGGAACTGGAAGCTTGCTACATTTAAATGACTTGCTGAAATCTTCAGAACTACAGATGGAGGCAGGAATTAAATCAAGGCACCCTGTGCCAATCATTCCCATAGATGAATAAACAGTAGTATTGGTTTCATAATTATCATCACTATCATCAAAATTATTTAATTCCAACCACTCTAGCAATTATATTTCTAGGAATTTATCTCACAGTCATAATACTGCATATCCATAATAAGGTATATTCAAAAACGTTCTTTGTAACACTGTATTGGCCAAATATAGACAAAATTAAATGCCTAATGTTAGGGCTCAGAAACTGATACCCCAAAATATGGCACTTTAACAAGTGCTGAACTGAAGAAGACTCAGGTGTCTCAAGCTGTCTCTGATCTTCCCCCCTCATCCAATCCTCTTTCTCCCCCAAAGCACAGGATGAAGTTATTTTCTGAAGTTCCCTTGTCTGCCTAAAGTCTGGGCCCATCAAAGAAGAAAACTATTACCTCTGGTCCTTTCTCTGAGTTTTCATTAACTGAATTCTTATCACAGGAAGAAACACTTAAGTCAGCAGACAACTCACCTGGACAGACTTTTGTCACAAACCATTATCTGCTCTGCAGGTCCAACAGACTTTGTCCCAGGCCACTGTATGTTCTTCAAGCCCATTGAATTCCCCTAAAAATCATTTACTACCCCCCTAAAATCATCCACACCTCCCCCTCTCCCCTAAGAAGAAGGTTATGTATCCATTTGTACCCCATCGTACTGTGGGGCTATCACTCTGTGATTCCCCCCCACCCCTGTACAGTAATATATTTACATGCCATTCCTGTTAATCTGCCTTTTGTGAGTTGATTTTTCAGCAAACCTTCAGAGGTTGCTCTATGAGTAGGGTTTATTGATAACACACACACACAAACACAATTTATTTTCTCATTTGTTGCCATGGGAAATGTCCTTCCTTGAAGTAGGTATTAATCAGGAGGTTCTGTAAGTGTCTCCTAATCTCAAGACACACACACACACACACACACACACACACACACACACACACACTGATTCAGAACAGTGCATATGTTACCATTTCTGTTAAATAAATAAAAATAACTGTATTACCTATATTCTTGTTGATAAAAAGAGTATTTCTGGAAAAATACCTATGAAACTGGTAACTTAGTGCCTTTGGGGAAAGCAACTAGGTGGCAGGGTGAAATTGAGATAAATTTTTATTGCGCACATTTTGTATTCTTAATTTTTACCATGCTCATGTAATAACCTACTTAAAAAACATAAATTATTTAAGGAAAAAATCTAATTGTACATTATTAGTGACCTTCCAGAGACTTTTGTAATCTGGGAAACAGAGTTAAAGAAAATTTACATGCATCAAAATCATCATTCCTACTTTTTATATCCTGAGCAATTTGCTTTTTCAATGACAGCAGAATCCTTTGCTTTTGTTAAATGAATGCAAAATAAAGAGTAATTTTCCATCTCTGGTCTACAGTGCTTTGCCCATGCTGCAAAGGCAAAAACTGTAGGTAAAACACGAGGAAATGAGCACCTTGAAGCTGGGTAACAGGTAACTCAAAAGGCAGGCCAAGCATAAAATCACACCCACAAACGGCCCTACCTGAGAACATCCCAGGGGCGCAGCTGCTTCTTTTTTCAGCATCTTTCTTGGCTGGAAGAGGCAGCTGGCAAGAGAGCTTAACCACAGCTCCTGAACTCCTGGGGATTTACAGAGAGATAGCTCTGTCCCCAGGGTAGGACAGCTAGTCTTCCAGGTTTTCTCATCCTTTCCAAGAAACCTTACGTGCCATTTTTCATAGTATTTTCAAACAGGGAAGACGGAAACAGACACTCTGGCCATCAGAAATGGAGAGATTGGCTAGTGAAACTATGGAGTCAATGATTAGCATGATTGTTGCTTGAAAAGCCAATGTATTTAAAAGGGTACATTCTATTATCACCATCCCTAGAAAAAAGAGAAGAAAAAAAAGAGTACATTAAAATTCTTCCAGCATGCCAGTGTGGCATAATTCTCTGCTCTCTGACAGCAGGTGCTTGTGTCAGCAGAGGAAGCCTCGTTCTAAGAAAGAACTATTCCAGAGGGGCAGAAGAACAAGTCCTGCTCCTCCTAGGGAAACGCTGACTGAACGCTGAAGGGTAGGGCTGCTGCGCTCTTTCGCCGCCTCAAGCCTCCGGACAGGCACAAGGGAGACCCAGAAGTAACAGGATTAGCGCGAGGAGGGGAAACACCCGCGGGACGGTGGTGATGGGCATGCATGAGGGAGTGCCACGCAGTTTTAGTCGTTAATCTCCTCCTTTTGTTGACACAGAAAAATGTCTTTCCTTGGAGGAGGCATTTCGAGGGGTTTCTGTAAGTTCCCTCCGAATCTCAGCATGGCAGGGACGCCGCCTGCGCTCCCGGCCTGGGCAGGGCGTGGAGGCTCGGAGGCGGGCGCGGCGCTTCCCACAGGGGAGCGACTCTGGCGGGGGCCCCTGGCCCCTCCCGCCTGGGGCGCCGCCTCCCGCGAGGGCGAGCTCTACAAGTTGCGAGCGGACAGGGTCATTGCTGCCGGTCTCGCTTCAGTCCGACTCCAGTGCGAGCCGGGCCCCGCGCTGCGCCGACTCCCGCCGCCCCGGAGCCTCGTGCGCGCGAGCCATGGCCCGCGAGCTGTACCACCAGGAGTTCTCCCGGGCGGGCACGCAGGCAGGGCTGCAGGTCTGGCGGGTGGAGAAGCTGGAGCTGGCGCCGGTGCCCCAGAGCGCTTACGGCGACTTCTACGTCGGGGATGCCTACCTGGTGCTGCACACGGCGCAGGCGAGCCGAGGCTTCACCTACCGCCTGCACTTCTGGCTCGGTAAGGGGCGGCGCGCGCCGGTCGGGGAGCGGGGGAGGTGAGGGTCCGAGATTTGAGGGCTCGAGGGCTCGAGGGCAAAGGGGCCTCATCGCGACAGTCGCGCCACCGCGGGGCGCCTCTTTCGGGCCGGTCGCTCCTTCCCAGCCAAAGTCAACTCCCCGCCCGCTACAGACGTGCGGCGCGGGGAAGTCCCGGGCAGATTTATCCAGCTGGCTTTGACCTTTGTCAAGTCCAGTTCCTGGACTTTTTAAGGCTGGTCCTCAGGCTTCTGCCTCTTTCACCTTCCCATCTCCGAACGCCACTGTCGCCCAGGAGCGCTGTCCCTGCGCACCCGGCGGCGCTGGCCAAGTCCTGCTCACCTTCCCACAAGTTCAGTCCTGGTTTCCCTGTCAAGATGGGGAGGAAGTCAAACAAGTTTGTGGGCGTCTGCTGCAGTTGGCGAGAAGTCCTTCCCCCCCTTCATAAATTTATGTTTATTTGTTGCCTTTGGGCACCAGTTTAGATTTCTCTATTACTTGCAGGGATTAGTGTTCTGGGCCTCTTTCAAACAGGATCCTGCCTGCACCTCGCTGCTTGCCAGGTTTGGCAGACAGAAACTCCTGTTTATCAGGGAGCTAGTGTCTTGGGATGGAAACAGGAAAAAAAAAATACAGACATTATGTGTATAAATAAATAGTTCTATATGGCTGATTTGTGTATTTATTTAGATAAGCTGCCTTGTTACTATTTATTAATTTATTATTTATGTTTTAACAAGGATGCAGTGTGGAACAGAATGGCCCCTTCAGCAGTAGTAATTATTTTGGGTTGCATTCCTGCCAGGCTTTCAGGACACTGGGCCTTGTGTGTTCTACTTTTTCCACCTTCTACTTTTACTAGTAAACATCCTAAATGTCCACCCTGTACCTTCATGAGGTCTTGCTCCAGTAGGCACACCCTGTCTAACAACATGCCTATTATCTGAGCCTGTTACCTTCTTTTTTTTTTTAAGACAAATTCTTGCTCTGTTGCTCCAGGCTAGAGTGCAGTGGCATCATCATAGCTCACTGCAACCTCAAACTCGTGGGCTCCCGCAGTCCTCCTGCCTCAGCCTCCTGAGTGGCTGAGACTACAGATAGGCGCCATAAGCCCCCCGCACTACCCCCCCCCACACACTAATTTTTCTATTTTTAGTAGAGACAGGTCTTGCTCTTGCTCAAGCTGGTCTGGAACTCCTGAGCTCAAGTAATCTTTTCGCCCTGGAGCTCCCTGAGTCCTTTTGCCTTTTAAAACTAGCTCACCTCCACTGTGCTTGTGTTTATTTTTATTCCTAAGAAGGTAAACACACAAAATCACACACACACCTGTACACACACACACACACGTTCTTAAATTCCTGAAAGCCAACAATTTTCTTTCTAAAATTTTAAGATTTTAACAAACAAAATAGTAGAAAACACTGAGTAGTGACTTCTAAACATGGGCAAATACCTGGAACAGGCACTTGAGAAATTGAGAAATAAAAAGAAGATAGAATGAAGATAGAACTTAAAATTATAGCATTTGGTGTTGAAAAATTGTGTTAGCTTGAGGAAGCTGAGAAGGCTCAGTCTTGAGGTTCTAAACTGATTTTGGTTTCCCAATGCATGGTCATTATTCCTATTATAATGTTATAATACCCAGTAATCCATTTATATTTTATACCAGAAAACACTGAAACCTTAATATATAACCTATGTTCAAAAATGAATGATACCAGATAGATTAATGATGTCCACACTGAAGTCTTTCCATCCAGAACTTGGATCTGGGATGAATAAGAGTGTCTGAAATGCATATTTGCCATTTGGGTGAATTAAAATGTGAAAGAATTCCATATGTTAATGTAGACAGCAGTTAAGTTTGATTTTGTCAGAAGACTGCAATGGGATTTGAACACAGTTCTCTAATTCTATAAATTCTTTCTTACACAAGTAGATTTCTTAAGCACTGTGTTTTGTGCAGTTTACAGATTCATTTCAGCTCTTAATTATTCACTTAATGCTTGTCAATTTCAAAAATATAATAAAAAAATTATTTGGGTAGGAACATTTAGGATCTTAAAGATATGCTAAAACTGAAGTCAATAGTATGTTAATATCAAGCTAATTTATTCAGTAAATATCAATGTGCCCACCACGGTGTAATGTACTTTTGCATATGAATAATTTATGAAACTTTTCTTAAGTTTCATCATCTTAAAGGTGCAATAAGACAAAAAAAATGATACAACACCAGTAAAATATGATAACTACTGTGAAAGACACACAAATGTTTGTGGTTATGGGGAAAACAGAGAAGCCTTGAGGGAAAACAAGGGAAGCAGAGTAATTGGGAGGGTTCTTGTTTTAAGAGGAAATCACAGGGAGATGGAAAAGCTTAAGGTAAAATATTTCAGCAGTTCTTCCTACTTCAGTTCCCTAAGCAAACTGAATTTTATCAGAAATAGTCTACTGTAAGATCTAAATTAGGATGAATCCATAAGGATTAATCAGAGACAGATTGAGAGAAAGTTCTAGGAAGGAAAGCTGAAAGTTCAGGGGAAAAGAACATTTGATTAAAGGAAATCAGTTGGAAGGAAGATAAGTGAAGGTGGAGTCAAAATGGGATTTTAAAAAGGTGCATAGCACAGAAATGATGAAACAGGCTAAATAGGAGTCAGAATGGGAACCAGGAAGAAGTTGTACCTACAATGAGAGAGGACTGAAGGAGAGTGATCTTTCCAGGTTTCTTCCTCAGTGTTTCCATAACACCCTGGCATAGCTCAGATTACTTTATGTACCACCTTGCATTAACATTGTGCGCTTAAATGTAAGGAAAATAAGAATTTGTTGCATATAATTTAGAAGTTTTGGCATTAGTCCTTCTTTAAAAAATCCCAGGTTTGTACATAGTGGTTTAAATGCATCTACCTTGTGCATCTGGCTCCTTATAGCACCAAGTCGATGAGCAAGGCCAGCTGGTAAAACTGCTCTCTGTCACATCCCCAACTTATGCTACCAATATCTACCCTCACTCTTTCTCTTTGCCAGTTTTAACTTTGCATAAATAGATTTTAAAGCAACATACATAACTTTATCCTGTGACTACTCTGTGCTAGGCCTTTTGCAAGTCACTGGAAATCCACAGGATTGGATTACAATAAAAGGAATTTATAAAAAGGGCTGGAGAGAATGCTGAGACACTGGATAACTTACATTACTGGGGCACGGGGGATGTACAATGGTACAGCACTCTGGAAAGGGTTTAGTAGTTTCTTACAAAACTAAACATCCAACTATCATAAATGACCCAGCAACTACATTCATGAGCACATATTCTGGGGAAGTGAAAATTTCTGTTCATGCAAAAACTTACACACAGATGACCTTAGCAGCTTTATTTGAATAGCCAGAAACTGAAATCAGCCCAAGATACACTTTAACAGGTGACTGGTTAAACAAGTTGTGATATATCTATACAAAGGAGTACTACTTAGCAGTAAAAAGGAACAAGCTATTAATACACACAACAAATTGGATGAATCTCCAGGGAATTATGCTGATTGAAAAAAAAAAACAACAACCTAACTAAAAGGTTCCATACTACATGATTCCATTTATATAACATTTTTTTAAATGACAAAATTTTAGATTTGTTGCTGCCAGAGGTTGGGGATAGGTTGGGGAGGGAGTGGTGCAGGTAGAAGGTGGGTGTAGTTATAAGAGGGCAGCATGAGGAATCTTTTTGGTGGAACTATGTAGCATCTTTATTGTGATGGCACATATATGAATTTATAACTGTGATAAAATTGTATAGAGCTAAATGCACACACATGTAAGTGAGTACGAGTAAAACTAGAGAAATATGAATAAGATAGGAGATTGGATTGATGTCAATATCCTAGTTGTGATATTCTGCTCTATACTGTACTACATATTAGTATACTATAGAATACTAAACCATACTACAATTTTACAAAACGTTACCATTGGGGAAACTGAGTCTATTGATCTATGTGTCTATCCTTCACCAATTCCACTTTAATTATTGTAGCTATAAAGTAAACATTACTTTTGGGTAGAGTGATTCCTCCCACTTTATGTTGCTTTGTCAAGATTATTTTAGGTACTCTAGGGTCTATGCCTCATTATATAGATTGTATAATAAACTTCTATGTGTATACAATAAGCCTTACTGTTATTTTCATAAGAACAGTATTAGGCCTATCGATCAATTTGTGAAGAATTGGCATCTTTATCATGTTGAATCTTAAAATCCATGAATGTACTAAGCCTTTACTTTTATTTTGGTCTTCTTTGAATTTTCGTATTGCCATTTTGTAATTCTCAGCATTCAGATCCTGTACATGTTTTGCCTGAGTATTTCAGTTTCCTTAGAGTATTATTATAAATAGTATTATGCATTTAATTTGGGTTTCTGCATATTCATTATTTTTACATAAACATGCAGTTGATTTTTTTTCCTGATTAATCTTGTGTCTTGCTATCTTGCTGAATGGACTTTTTATTTCTAGGAGTAGTATTTTTGGTGGAATCCTTAGAATTTACTATGTAAACAATCCTGTTATCTTTAAATACATATTTATTATTTTTTCATATCTAATCTGTATGCCTTTTATTTCTTTTTCTCACCTTATTGCTCTTGATCTTATGAGGAAAGCATTTAGTCTTCCACCATTCAGTATTATGTTAGCTCTATGTTTTTTGTGATGCTATTTATCGAGTTGAGGATGTTCCTCTCTTTTCTTATTTTGGCTAATTTTTTTTTTTTAGCATGAAGAAGTGTTGGATTAACCTAGCTTTTTTGTTGCTATTGTTGTTTTTTTTTTGTTTTTCTTGTCTTTCTTTTTTTTTTTTTTTTGAGACAGGTCTTGCTCTGTCACCCAGGCTGGAGTGTAGTGGCCCAATTATAGCTCACTGCAGCCTCTAATTCTTGGGCTCAAGCCATCCTTCTGCCTCAGCCTCCCAAGTAGCTAGGACTACAAGTGTGCACCACCATAGCCAGCTAAAATTTTTTTTATTTTTTGTAGAGCTGGAGTCTTGCCAAGTTGCCCAGGCTGGTCTGCAGCTGCGGGCCTCAAGTAACTCCTCTGCTTCAGCCTCCCAAACTGCTAGGTTACAGGTGTGAGCCACCACACCCGGCCGACTTCCAGATATTACCATGTCTGGCTTAACCTAGTTTTCAGCCTCACTTTTTATCTATATTTTATATATAAAATCATCATATTCCCAAAACAACTTCAGGAAGTTTTCAGCATATATACAATATAATATAATGTAATACAAATAACAGAACATAAAAGACATTGGTAAAATCAGCATAGGGAAACAACGAATGTCATCAGAATTCATAGGGGAAAACCAAATGAATTCATAAGCGGAGTTCATACACAAAGTTTATAAGTTCCTAGAATTCCATCATGATACAACTGAATTTGATTCTAATTTTCACATTTGTAGGCTGAGGTTCGCTTTATTAACTACTTTGGTGCTCACCGGCCGAGAAACCTTGCCCACAGCTGGCACTCATAGTCCCCACAATAGTTTGTGCTGTGCATTGGTGACGAATCCGTTTTGCTCTTGTGTGATGAGGAAAGCTTTAAAGCACTGAAAGCTTGTTTTACTTTACAGGCAGCTTTACCTGTAATATAAATCAGAATAGGTAACATATGCATATGTGTTTTTATTATGTTATTTTTAAATGTTCACAATTTTATTTTGATAAATGAAAAATTAGAAAAATCAATTCAAATTTACAGTTTTATTTCATTCATATCATAAAGAAATAAGGCAAGTTTTTGAATATTATGATAAATTTTATTCTTTGGTATGATAAATTTCGAAGCATGGGGCTACACATAGGCCAACATTACATTGTTTACAATAGTATCTAGTACTGCACCTTTTATTGTTTTTTGAGCATACACTACATCTTCTTAATGGATTTTTCCTTTTTGTTTTATCATTATTGCAAGGTGCTGGAAAATGTCTTTCTCTAAAACACATGAGATTTTCTGATGCAGTATAAGGGTTGTATTGCCTTGATTCGGAGTACTGTTGTAGAAGTTTTGTTATTAACGCTACAGTCGACGCTCGGCTGTGCGCGTTCACCTGTGGCTATTGACTATAGTTGACGCTCGTACCAAAGTGGTTAAGACCTTTCAACCTCTTTTGGGCAAGGACTCTGGTTTATTCATACTGATATCCCCTGGCTTAGCATATTATATAAGCATCAGCAAATGAAAGCATAATTTAATTAATTTACTTCCAGGTCATTCATTAACTTCATGCCTGTCCATTTACATCTATCTAAAGAGATTCCGGTTTCAAGTTGTAGTCAAGTAAGAATGTTTATGTCAAATACATCATCTTTAACACATTTGATATTAACCTTGGTTTGAGATTATCTTTTTAAGCATCTGTGTACAAAATGTACAACTATATCTTAATTGGTATTCCTAGTTAGGGTTAGGAAAATGGGCAGAAGAATGACAGTAGAGTCTTTTCAGACTGCAAAATTGTCTGTGTGTTAAATACTTACCTTTGTCAACCACAGCAAGGTCACAAAATTGTTACTGTGTCAAGTATACTTCTATACTGATATTTTCCCCTCAGAAGATATTTGCTATTCAGGTCTCCTTTTAGAGCAAGAGAGGAATTGTAAAGAAATCTTATTTTTTTTTTAATATAGCTAACTGATTTCCTTCCTTAAACGTTGGCGAATATTCTCATGGTTGTTCAGGTGAACTATTATATTCTTACAGCTTCTAAAGTTTTATGCATCAGTTAGTTATCCATGGGGGAACCGAACATACTCTGATCACCACGAAGTTTTACTATTAATGAGAGTCTGAGTATTAAAAATATCTACTAGCATATTGTAGTTTCTAAGAGCCTGTGCTTCAGAATCACACAAACCTGTGTCTGTGTCCTTTTCTGCTAAAAGTCCCCTTTATGAACTCAGAAAAGTGACTCAGTCTCTGTAAGCCTCCATTTCCTCTTTTGTAACGTGGGAGAAAATAGCTTCTGCTTCATGGGTTTGTTTGAGGGCTAAATGAGATCATCCATGTAATACACTAGCACAGTGTCTGGCCATAGTAAAGGTAGTATAAATGTATAAACGTTACCTATTATTTCTAGAATCATTTATGATTTGTATACAGCTCAGATGCAGTAAGAGGTTTGAAGTGTTTTTTAATAAAATTTGAGTCTCTCTCAGTACTGTCCTTGCTCTGACCATGTTCACTGCAGACGCTGGTTCTGAGGAATTGTTCGACCTTGGATATGATCTGTATTACCATTGTGAAAATTAAATGTATGTTGCATGTTAAATCCCTGGGACAATACTACCTACAATAACAGTTAATAAATGCTAGCATGCTGGTTCCTTTACTCTCCCTTTTCCTTCAGAGATTATTTCATTCAAACGAAATAGAGGTTAAGATCAAATTGTATTCATTTTCCTATTCTAAAATCCACTTGCTTCCCTGAAATTATTTAATTATGGCCCATGATGTTCATATTCCTCCCAAATACTAATTAACATACTGATATTATAGAAGCTTAAGGATTGATGCTAATAAAGGCTAAACCAATTGCAAAATATTTGCATAGCCTGGTATCATTGACTGTACCAAATGAGTGCTCACCTGAATTTATTGTTATATCTTTCTTAGCACATTTGGACAACAATGTTTCTTTTAAAAAATTTTTTTAAGAAACTGAAAAAAGGAGGAACAAAAACAATTTTTTTAGTTATTATCAAAATAATATATCATACTGTTTCTGCTACAAGATTTTTCTGTAGAAGACTGTCATATTAATAAATGAGCTGAAAATTTCTAATTTATAGCAGAAATTCTGCCTTAGTCCTTTTTCTCGCTTGATTATTGAGGTGCTCTCATTTGCTGTTTCAGGAAAGGAGTGCTCCCAGGATGAGAGCACAGCAGCTGCCATCTTCACTGTTCAGATGGATGACTATCTGGGTGGCAAGCCAGTGCAAAGCAGAGAACTTCAAGGCTACGAATCTACTGATTTTGTTGGCTATTTCAAAGGAGGCCTGAAATACAAGGTAAGCAGCTCTTTCAAGCAGTTTCCATTATGAACCCCTTTCTCCTCCTGTTCATCCATACCACATGTCTTCATAAAATGAAAGTTTATTGAGGGCAGTGTTTTTTTTGTCTTGTTTTGTCTTTGTTTAAATCTGTTTTGTTCGATGCTATCTCTCCAGTACCTGCCAGACACATAGGCGTTCAATAAATGTGGAATGTATGGTGCAATAAGAGAAATCTACTAACTTGACTTAATTTGTTAGGATAATATTTTTAAGAAAGCTAAGAGCTTTCAGTTATGTCTTTTTTTTTTTTTTTTTTTTTTTACAGAGTCTCACTTTGTTGCCCAGGCTAGAGTGAGTGCCATGGCGTCAGCCTAGCTCACAGCAACCTCAAACTCCTGGGCTCAAGCAATCCTGCTGCCTCAGCCTCCCGAGTAGCTGGGACTACAGGCATGCGCCACCATGCCCAGCTAATTTTTTCTATATATATTAGTTGGCCAATTAATTTCTTTCTATTTATAGTAGACACTAGGTCTTGCTCTTGCTCAGGCTGGTTTCGAACTCCTGACCTCGAGCAATCCGCCCACCTCGGCCTCCCGGTTTCAGTTATGTCTTCACAAGAAGGCCCTTTAATATTTTGTAAAGTTATTTCAGTAATTAAATATGGTAACTTGAGTCTTAACAGTTTTCATTTTTGCCATTCTAGAGAATCTCTGAATTTGCTGAAAGTAACTCAAGCCTTTGGAATGGCAATTGTTCTGTAATATCTTAATACAGTATCTATAACAATTATAATTTCAGTTACTACAAAGAACTATACATACGTTTCCCAAATAGTGTGTGGTTTGAGCTTAGAAATGATGCAATTGAAACCACTGAGCAGAAAATATGTGTGGTTCAGCCACATAAACTCAAATACACATGTAAATACACACATACATAAGCACACACAATTTACGGATATTGGTCTGAAACACCAACGTATCGACTTTACTTCTGAAAATAAACAGACAAAACAAATAGTTAAACAGTTCTATCTCCGTAAGGCAGGCTTTTTTCTGTCACTCTCCCAGTGACCTTTGCAGACTGACCCTCCTTCACCATTCCCGCCCCTGACTCCACCATATGTGTTCAGTTAGAGTGTGAGGAACACCCTCCCCAGACAAACATTTCAGAAACAAGCCTTTCCAAAAGCAAACATACTCCAGCAGATGTTCTGCACATCCTACTGCCCTGCCCCTTGAGCATGTCAGCCTAGTGTGGACCTGAACCCTTAGAAGTAAACTATAATTCTGTCTATAATACTAAATTTGCCTATTAAGATGCCGGGGTTTATTTCTACCTTTCCCTGTTCAGAGCCTCGGTTGAATATTTTGTGATACCATTGAGATTAGGACAAAACACGTATATATTCTCTTATCTCTCTTGAAATCACTATTTCACTCTAGGCTGTTAAGCATCCTAAATCTAAAACTATTATCTCTCATTGTATTTAATTGACATGAGCTCATACAGTTTATGTCAAATGATCCTGAAACTTCCTTTATGTTAATAAACCCAACATTTTAAATGGGTCGGGTCTTGGAGTTTCCAAAAGCAGGTTGCTGCGACATCACCCAGTTTTGAACCCATTTCTGCCACATAGGACTTGTTTGCTTTAAGGCAGATGCTTGAGGTTTCTGTGCTAAATTTCTTTAAACGTGCAAGGGTATTATAACAGCTTTCTCATGCAGGTGTTGTAATGATTAAGGATTAAATTAAGTAATAAAATACTTACAGAGCAGCCATCCCCAACCTTTTTAGTACCAGGGACTGGTTTCATGGAAGACAGTTTTTCCACAGAGTGGGGTAGGAGAATGGTTTTGGATAATTCAAGTGCATTACATATATTGTGCACTTTATTTTTATTGTTATTACATTGAAATATATAATGACATAATTATACAACTCACCATAATGCAGAATCAGTGGGAGCCCTGAGCTTGTTTTCCTACAACTAGACGATCCCAACTGGGGTTGATGGGAGACAGTGACGGATCTGACAGGAGGCAGAGCTCAGGTGATGATGTAAGTGACGGGTAACAGCTGTAAATACAGATGAAGCTTCACTCACTCACCTCCTGCCGTGCTACCTGGTTCCTAACAGGCCACAGACTAGTAGTGGTCCGTGGCCTGAGGGTTGGGTACTGCAGCTACAGAGTACGTAACCAATCAGTAGAGACTTGTGTTATTAATCCTGCTGGCTATTAACAAGACTTTTGCAATAAAATTTCTAGATACATATTTGAAAGTGGACATGATAAAAGTAATCTTACAGTTATTGGATAATTATCTTCTAGTTACCAACAGTAAAACCACCACAAATTAATGTGTTTTAGAAAGATGATTTTTGCAAATGGAGGTCAAATTTATCAGCAAGAAAATGAGTCCACTATCTTATCATCGGTGACATTGAGCAGATGGCAACACGTGCACTTGCAACAATACTTGATAAGAAATGTGGACGCAGAGATAATTTAACACCCAGAAGAGCAAATATGACGTTATTATGCTTAATTTCATCCCATTAGTAGTTCGAAGCTTATAGGAATATGCTAATCACTTCACACACATTATCTCATTTAATACAAGCAACTTTGTGTTGCAGTTTCTATGCAGTTTCTATAGCTACCATTCTATTAAGATAAGTAAAACACAGCTTCCAGAGGCTATGTAACTGTCATGATCTCATAGCTATTATGTGAGTGGGTGACCATCTGACTCCAGAGCCTAAGCTGCTAATCATTATGCTCTGATACTCTCAACATACATAAATGGTTCAAATACTGGGACAAATTTTTAAGAATACTCTATAAAACAAGGTATTGTGTCTATCTGCGATGTGCAAAATTTGACAAAGCCTACCATTCCCGAGTCTGCAAAAATCACATTTAGTTGCCATATGTAATGTAAAGATTTGGCTAGGAAACATTAAGACCATCTTTGTATCTCATTTGACTGACTTGTGTCTTTTCTCTCTGAGGTCGTTTAGGGCCTGAGAAGGGGATATAGAAGACTATTACTTACCATTGCTCACTTATATTAAGTCTCTGGCTGACATACCTTTACCAAGCTGAACAAGACCCTGCCCTCAGCCAGGATTGTAGATAGTGTTCGTCAGACATCTATCAGCCAGCAAACCTGGTACCACTAGTTCAGAAGATTATTCATTTTGCTTTTGTTCTGTCTTGTGAAAGTAGAAAAAGGCTGGAAGCTTTTAGGGTTAATGCAAGCAATATTCACACAAGAATTACTTACAGACATGTGCAACATATAGTATTTATTGTGTGCATTTGTGGCATCAAATATTAAAGACAAATTATTTTTTAAAAATTATGTTAAATTTTCAGACTATATCACTCTGTAGGCTCACCCTATGAAATTAGCCTGAATGTTATATATATGTATCTTCAGTCTAAATCTACTCTATATTTTATAACATTTTTAGATCACAATGTTCTTATGTTTTTAGCAAATCACAATGTACTTCTACTTATTTTATAAAATTAAAATTGCCAAGATTGAAACTTACATTGATTTTTGTTTTATAATACTTAGTTCATTAAGTTAAGAAATGTGGCAATCTCATGAAATTGTGGATAGGAAATTATCATATATTTCCTAAAATTTGAAGTTATAATTGTCCTAAAATCAACATTTGACCTGTAATAACGAAACTTTTCTGTTCATTAGGGCCTTTTCCTGGAGAAGAGAGAAAATTTAAAGTCAATTAAAATTAAAAGAGTGTGCTAATGACTACATGTGCAGTCTAACCTCATCTTTTGGATTCACTATATATGTTTATATAATAAACTTGAAAGTTGGCTTATTTTATAGATTGGTTAATAGGGCTAATTTTTCCTACCATTATTATAGAGGCCTTTGATCTATCAATGACAGAGTTTTGTTTATACTGTAACTCAGTTAAGCACATTACCTTATAATTAATTGTGGAAATAAAGAAATGGTTCCAAACATTTAATTAGAAAAAAAAAAAGAAAAAAGATGATTGCAAATGATATAAGAAAATATAATTGATACAGCTAAAATTCTTTAATTCAGCATTTCTTTTTTTTTTTTTTTTTAAAGATTCCATGTCTAAGCTTATAATTCAGCATTTCTTTAACTCAGTGCGGTTGTATTTTATTTACTTTGTTTTGTTTTGTTGTGGTTGGGATGTGCAACCAAGATACTGCACCTCTCCTGACTTAAAGTAAAAATACTCAGACCTAGCGTATTTGGCAAACTCTGTTTACCAGAAAATAAAGAAAACATGATTATTTTTGAAATGTGAAAACAAGGACCATGCATAGGAGCAGCCTATCCCTGGCCAGTACTCAATTCCCCTTCTCCATCCTAACACTGTGACAATGGGAATTTTGGATGCCTTGTTCTCTGTCTGCTGTCACCAGTACTTGTTACCTCTCACTCCTCTCCTCTAGCCTCCTTTCACTTTCTTGCCTGAAATCTTTGTTTGCCTTCTCACTCATTAATGGCTTGAAATCATTAGTGCCCAAAGGGCAAGAGCCATGGCTGCTTCTCTTTGTTTATGCAGCAGTGTTTTATACACTGAAGGTTCTCAGTAAATATTTTCAATTTTTAATTCAATTGTTAAAACAGAGAGAATAAGACCAAATAAACCAACTTGTTGATTTACCAAGGAATTCTCTTTTTATATTTAACTTTTCACATGTGACAGGTAGCTATTTTATCTTGGCCTGACAGGCACAGTGTTGGCATAAACAGTGTGGTATTATGCTTTGCCTTGTCTGGTTGGAAGCCTCACCAGTTTTCTCTTTGTTCTGTGTTGTGTCTTTCCTCTCTTGATCAGGCTGGGGGTGTGGCATCTGGACTGAATCACGTTCTCACCAACGACCTGACCGCCCAGAGGCTGCTGCATGTGAAGGGCAGGAGAGTGGTCAGGGCCACAGAAGTTCCCCTCAGCTGGGACAGTTTCAACAAGGGTGACTGCTTCATCATTGACCTTGGCACCGTAAGTTTCATGTGCGCACGTAGACGTCTACAGGACCGTGAATTGTTCTCAGATCAAATCAAATGGACATGTCATTGAAGACAATCACTTTTTCTATTTTCTGCACACAGGAAAGGGTTCATGTTTATGTGAGATGCAATCGTATGACATAGTAATTGGCAAATATTTAAATGACACATAAAGTGGGACTTCAAAGTTTTTATTTCTTTGATAGATTTAGTACAGAGTGGTGATTTAGTTCTTCCTACCATAGAACAGAGATTGAATAATATTCGATATATTTCCCTTTCTCTCTGAACAGAGCTTCCTCTAATTATTTTGTCTTTTTTTAATTTTTTTTTTTATTTTTTTGAGACAGAGTCTCACTCTGTTGCCCGGGCTAGAGTGCTATGGCGTCAGCCTAGCTCACAGCAACCTCAAACTCCTGGGCAATCCTTCTGCCTCAGCCTCCCAAGTAGCTGGGACTACAGGCATGAACCACCAGGCCTGGCTAATTTTTTCTATATATTTTTAGTTGGCCAATTAATTTATATTTTTAGTAGAGACAGGGTCTTGCACTTGCTCAGGCTGATTTCGAACTTCTGACCTTGAGCAATCCACCCGCCTTGGCCTCTCAGAGTGCTAGGATTACAGGCATAAGCCACCTCGCCTGGCCCTATTTTGTCCTTAATTGTGTGTGGGAAAGCATAGCTTAAGGGGGAAATTGACTCCCCCAGCAATCAAAGTTTCTAGAATTTAAATAGCCACCTGAAGAATTTTGAAGCTATATTTTCAAATATTCCTTCACAACACAAAACCAATACACAAACACACACACATATATACACACACACAACATACATTTATCAATTATATTTAAGGTTGTTACAAGAAAAGGCACAAATACAAATATCAGTTATAATCTTGATGGCATAGGCAATAGCATACTATATCTGACCTAAGATTTTTTTCCAGGAAAAGAGTCCCTTCTAATATCAGGTTTACTTATAATCAGTTGTTATCATCACGATAAAGAAGTACTATTGCAGGGCCTTGTGCTAGATGCTAGTAGGTAGAATTTAAGTTGCAGCTTTAAAAGTATGTAAGGTTTTGATGGTAGAAATAAAAAGACATCCATCCCTACTACTAAAAAAAAAAAACGTGTATCATTGCTAACATTTCTGGGCCAAGCATTGTACAGAGACATGCCCCGTCCTGTACTGCTTCAGTTAGCTTGATGCTTGGATTGTCTACAGAACTTCCTCGAGGTTGCTTAGCCAGGAAACTATGAAGCCAGGATTAGACTCCTGGTATATCCGATCACCACCATAGCATTTTGTTTTACTGCATCTACTTGGGTGGTATTTGGGGATAAAGCAGCCAAGATGCCAGAAGTGTTTATTGCCATGTGCGTAGGGGAAGGACACAAAGGATTCTGAAGACAGAGCTACACAAAATTCTGTTTAAGCAATATTAATTTGACAACAGCACAGAAATTAAATGTACAAAAGTTACAAATGGTTTGGAAAATGACCCCGAGGTATAAACTCCTTCAGTTTCTGTAAGTCAGGGTGTATCTATGGTTTTGTTACTGCTAATACATAATCTGGCTCACTTGAGTTACACCATCTTGTGTGCACAGTTGAGATCATAATAATATGAATGCCCCAAGTATGATTCTTAGTATCACACTTAGACATCTACACCCCAAATGGCAGGACTATTTTTCTGAATCTCACAATAAATTTCATGGAAAAATCCTTTCAACTTCAAAAGCTAATTCATTCTCCTAACAGGCAGGCTTAAGTCCTGACCTCAGATCGAGTCAGAAAACAGATATTATTCCATCCCTTCATTCCTTTATACCATAAATAAAGAAATGAAGACATAACTTATGCAAACAGATGCTCACAGGTATCATCAAGCCACGCAGTTCCAAAACCAATTACAGCATTCAGTCTCTCAAAGCCTAGGGGCAATAGTTGTCTATCTCAACTCTCATGTTCACCACTTATATTTTAAAGCCCTTTATAATGTATAAGGTGTTTTTACATATGAAATGACTTTTTTTTTTTATTAGAAAAAGGAGACAGTTCTCATTTATAATACTATAATCTCAAGTTCTCATCTGTCAGTGTAGGTGTTTGATTAGATGATCTCTAGGGCCCCTAAACAAAAGGAACACAGTGATGTTGAAAGAATTTCATTTCTAAAAAATGTTTTTATTTATAATGTAATTGCTACATACATGCAATAATCTACTTAATTATCATGAATAGCTTCTACTTTAACTTTCCAATGAACTACTCTGATCATTGGCAAATCATTAACATCTGAATCTTAACTTCCTTATTTATTTTTACATCTTGACTCTGATTTCTGGTGTCACTTCTATCCTTAGCTGACTATGATTCAGCATCTGACCCACAATCACATCTAGGAAATGTCAGTTATTATCCCAGTTTCAAAGGGGAAACAAAAGCTTTACAAGACGTCATTACATTCATACCAGTTGTTTGGTGACCTGGGATGAGACCCAGATTTTTCTATTCCTAGTTCACATTCTGTTCACCACACTAAGGTAACTTAGTAGTATATAAGATGGCATGGCACTGTAATACAGTGTCTTGCAACAGTTTCAGAATCTGCTGAATTCAGAATTGATGATGCCTAATCTAAGATTCTACTAAAAGTAGTGGTATTCACTGAACCATACATTATTTTGTGGAACAAATATTGAGTTTTCACAATGGGCTAGATAGGTGTTGTGATAGATTTGTTATAGTTCCAGTGATATATGCACTCTTCCCATAGGTAGTGTCAGCTTGTGGGAGTGTGACCCACAAATCCAGACTCATAATAGGGACAGAGTCTCTAAGGTTCAAGGACATTCATCTACTTAATGGTCAGTTATCTTCATTTTATATAGTTAATTATCTTTAATAACTCTCAGGTTCTCATCTGCTCTCATGCCTCATAAAAGAGAGGTTTGGAATGATTTTATTGCAGAGGTACTTGGGTCGGGTTATCTCTTAAATTACGGAAGTTCCTACACTCTAAAGGGTACCTTAGTAGGAATCAAGAATTGGATTCCTACATACACTGAAACAAATGCTCACAAGATCTGTGTTTATGTTACTAACCATTAACCAGTTGGTATGTTGCCAGAAGTTTCTAAATGGTCATAAGGTCTTGTGATTAGCTTAGTGACTTTATTTTTGGGGTGTGTTGCAGTAAACAAAGAAGGATGTGGAACTAAAACTTTATGTATCATAATATTTCAATAGTAGTCATTTTAATAGTAGTAATTCTTTAAAGACCACTTTCTGCATTAGAGAGCACAAAATAAGGCCAGTGCAGTTTCTCCAAGTTTGTATTATTACTCAGGTATGAAAAATGTCAGTTAAACATCTAAAGCTATCATCACTCTGTTAAAGCCAGCTGGCCAATACTAAGGTTATGGATATAACCTAAATCCCATATCTGGATCATGTTTGAGGGAAGTCAGCTTTTTTGATAAACATTTACTGTTATTAATATGAAATCCCATATACCTTAGAAACATTCCTTCTTTTATGAAGTTTTATACTACAGTAAATATTCCCTAGACATGACAATATAACCTCCTCAGTCTGAGGCATGAGATAATAAAATTATGTTTGACCAGTTTGGAAGTGAAGAAAGTCATCAATATTTTAGAGAGTGATTTAGATGCATTGTCTCATATTTAGTGTATATTCAGAAAATAATATGAAACATGGCTAGATCTTAGCAATTTACTGGATTTTTGGAAAAATGCTTTTGAACTATACACTTTCACATTGGGGAATTTATTATTTTTTATTTTCTCACTATTTTTAAAGATAGGAAGTGTTTTTAAAAATTAGCTAGTAAGTTAACTAATAAAATCACATCTAAAAATACTGCAACAAAGCATCAGAAACTGCAGAATGTGAAAGATAGTAAAAAAAAACCAAAAACAAAAACCCTATATTCTTAAGGCTTGGGATCTGGGGTTAACTCTTCACAATATATATCAGAGTCAGCCACTAGTGAAGAATTATGTTTCACAGGAGTAGGAATTCCTGTGGTGAGTTACTAATCCTGATGTTCTGCATATTGTTTCCTTATTAACTTGTTTGGTCAGTTATACAGCTTTGCTCTACTCTCTCCTTGCTATTTATATATAATCTGTCACCCCCTTTCCCACTGTTCAGTCATGCTGCTTTGAAAAAGCAGTCTCCACTTCCTCATTTAGCAGTCAGTCTTTAACCCACACTGTCTGACTTTCATTCCTTGGAAACTATTCTTGCTACATTCATTGGGTATCAATGGCCCGTGCTAAATCCAGTGGACACCTTGGTCATTATCCACTTGATCCTTGTGCTATAATCCACACTGTAGACCATTCTCATCTTCTTTACCCTTGCTCCTCTCCTGGCTTCCTTGTCTTCTTCCTTTACAGACTACTCTTTGTCATGCTTAACCTGCATGGTCTGTTCATCTAATAAGTATTTTTTTTTTTTTAAGGATTCCACTTGTAATCATTATCTCTTCTTTATGTATTGTTCTTGAGCAAACTCATCCTCACCCAATGCTTCAACTGTTACCCCCTGGTAAATCTTGTTTTCATAATCTAGCTCAAACCTCTTTCTTGAGGCCCATGTCAATATTTCAGGCAGCTTCCCAGATATTTTGGCTCATGTGTGTCATGAGAACCTCAAACTCAACAAGTCTAGAAAATGATTTCTCCTCTTATTGTCCTTATCTTATTAATAGAACCACCACTCACTGCAGAAAAAGATGAATTCTTATACACTGTTGGTGGGCTTGTAAATTAATACAGCCATTATTGAAAACAATATGGTGGTTTCTCAAAAAACTAAAAACAGAACTACTATACAATCCAGAAATCCCACTACCAGGTATTTATCCAAAGGAAAGGATATCAGTATATCAAAGGGATACTAGCACCCCCATGTTTGTTGCAGGATTATTCACAATAGTCAAGATATGGAATC